GCGCCGCAGCCCCGCGCCGAGCCCCGGGGCGGCCTCTGCCCGCGGCCTCTCCTCCATGGCCGCCTCCGTCCGCCTCTCGCCCGCCGCCCGCAGCCTCTTCGATGAGCCGCTGGCCATCGCCGTGCAGGGCCTCGGCCCGCGGCAGCAGGTCACGCTGCGGACGTCCTTGCAGGACGAGACGGGCGAGCTCTTCCAGGCCTGCGCCCGCTACCAGGCGGGGGACGACGGGGAGCTGGACCTCGCCCGCTGCCCCGCGCTGCCGGGAGGCAGCTTCTCCGGCCTGGAGCCCATGGGGCTGCTCTGGGCTCTGCAGCCCCAGAAGCCCTTCAGGCGGCTGGTGAAGCGGGACGTGCAGAGCCCCTTCCTCCTGCAGCTGGAGGTGTTCGAGGGCCACGGGGACCCGCCCGGGCGGCTCCTGGCCCAGGCGCAGCACGAGCGGGCCTTCCTGCGGGACGGGGTGCGGAGAGTCCCGGTGCGAGAGGGGAGGATCCGGGGGCGTGCCGGGCTCCTTCCCCCGCGGGTGCTGCCTCCGCTCTCGGCCCCGTGCTCCCGGGCCCAGAGCCAGGCCCCTCCGGACTCCCCTTGAGCCCGGTACCAGGCAGAGGACACGGAGGGGGAGCTGGACTCACCGGCTGGCGCTGGGCACTCTTCAGGGAGCGGCCTGATCAGCCTGACCAGCGCTGATCTGCTGGCCACACTCCTCATGTAGCGCAGCTACGTGGGCTAAAACACACGTGGGTGTGTTTTGTTGGCTAGTATTGGGCATGAAGGCATTGATCACGGTGCCCTTTTTGTTTCCAAATGCCGTGGGAGGTGGCGTCAGCCAGTCTTCAAAGTACCTTTCCTCTACTTGGCGGTTTTCCTCCAAGGGAATTCAGCTAGTAATTCTTTGAGTAAGCTGAAGGTTGCTCTCCAAAAGTCTCGAGTCCTAAGCCTGCTGCTTCCCTTCCCAGCCTCTCCACAGATCCTGAACTTGGTAATGTCGTAGTTGCTGCAGCCCACGCTGCCTTTTGCTGCCACATTTGTTCCCAGTTCTTCCCCGTTTGTGAGCAGAAGATCAAGCAGTAGGCAGGTTTGCCCTTACGGTATTTTTGTCGGAAAATAATCATTGGGAGGGTCTGTGAGGTTTTCAGATTGCCTGACAAATGCTGTGTTGTCTTCCCAGCAGCTGTCCACACGTCTGCTACTTGCCTGTAGGAAGCCTCATCTCTTGCCTCCTCTTGGTTGAGTGGTCTGTAGCAGCCACACCACCACCACATCCCACCTCTCCTTCCCCCTGTGACCCAGAGGCTTTCACCAAGCATGTCTCTGGAACCCCATGTTCTCAAGGAGCTCCTCTACGTAGCACGTGCCTTCCGCTCTCCCCCTTCTTCCCTGTCTCTCCCTGGTAACTCCTCCATGATAGCGCCAAAACCATACGTGCTGTCCCAGCCAGTGTCCCGCACTCTCATTGCGTCGTAGCCCTGTCGCCAGAGGTGAATTTCCAGTTCTTCTTGTTTGTTGCCCAAGTTCTTCGTGTTAGTCTGCAGACACCTGAGGGAAGCCTCACTCTCCTTTCTGAGCAGAAATGGGAGTCTCCCTCTTGGCCTCCTCCTTCCCGTACATTATCAGTTTGCAACCCCTCTCAGCTCTGGACTTCAGTCCCTGTCCCTGATGAACCTAATGTAAAGCTTCCTCCACCAGGTTAGCAAGGCTGGTTGCAAATACTTTCTTCTTTTAATCCCAGAATAAGTGGCTATAGTACATTTGCACTGAAACGGAGAAGCTGGAACCATCAGAAGGTGAGATTTTTTGGATCAGTCTTCTGAGAAATGCACTGGGGAGAGACCTCCTGGGTATTTTTGAAGCAGAGCTTGATACCTTTGCAGTGGATTTATAGGGTATAGAGAACTAGTTGTGACTGTCAAGGGATGCCTTCCCTTCCAGCTATGTGTTCCCTGATGTTATCCAAGAGATTAGCAGGCCTGCTATTTTATGCCATCTCGTTTAATCTTGAAGCAATGTAGCCATTTGCTGAAAACTGGCAGAGTAATTTAGGACCCTCAGTACCATTCTGTTGCTCTATGTTTTTTTCTTTTCTAAAAAGACAGATTCCCAGGCCTATGAATTTGGAATATAAATTAAAAATTGTGGGTTAATGTGCCCTGTTATGTGGTCTCTTGCAGGAAATGGCCCTTTTCCAGGAATTATTGACTTGTATGGAACGGGAGGAGGACTCCCTGAATACAGGGCATGCCTGCTGGCAAACTATGGCTTTGCTGTGCTGGCTCTGGCTTTCTATGGCTATGAAGATCTCCCCAAAGAGATGAAGGAATTCCACCTGGAATATTTTGAAGAAGCTGTAAACTATATGTTACAACACAGCCAGGTTGGTTTGTTCATTGACGCTCTCTCACTGGAGGGAGCACTCATTAGTCAGGTCCTGTCAGACTGCAGATGGGGCAGAGCTGCTGTACTTAAAATAGCATCTCCATTCAAGTTGGCTGCAATTAATTTGTTTTATACCTTTAACTCCTATTGCAATGGTTCTCTGGCAGGTTATTCCAGTTCTTCCTTTTGAACTGGCCGGGTGACACAGTGACACATAGGTCACATACTGGTAATTTCTGCTCCATTCAACCCAGTGTCATAACTAGGGTACTAGTTGCCTGGAGTCTTACTGAACTCCCAGCGGGGCTTTTAGGGTTATGCTCTGTAGAATGTCCTTCAGAACTAAATGCCCTTTTCAGCCATGGACGACATGATAATCTTCTGTGATGCAGGCCTCAAGGAAGTCCACCAGTACACATTTGTTGCTGTGTGTTGTGTAAGCTGTTAAAATCACTCCAAATGTTGGTATTTGGTGAGTATGGGTTTTAGTAGCTAGTTGTGAACTTGGGGATCCTTCTAAGTCGACACCTCTTGGAAGAGAAACCTGCTCAGTTCTGCATCTGCTTCGAAGTAGTTGTGCATGACAATAACTAGAATTGCACAAGGCAACACTTGGTTTCTCTGCAGAACTCAAAATAAATACCTTCCTCAACCTCAGAGAGATGAGTAGTTGTTAAAGGTCTTGGTTGCTTTTCAGTCGCCCTAACCCTAACTGCTCGTGACACCTCTCTGCCCCAAAACCTCTGAAAATGGCTTCTCCCCTGCCTTTTTTTCCCCTGCGAGCAGTACCATAGCCTCCCATTAACACCTCCACTGATACCCTCACCATGTTTTTAACATGTTGCGAAGTTTCAGCCATAGTTTCTAATTTCCCCCTTTCCATGCTTCAAAGTCAATGGGTTTTGAGCCTATTGCACTGGTGATAAGGTACAAAAGGTATTAAATTTTGATGCTGTCTCAGAGCCTTTTTACCCTGAGGGTCTTTGGATATTGGAGCAGTTGTGATATTAGCTGACCTTCTTCCAGTAACTGCAGAGGATTTCAGCACCCTGTAAGATCATTTAGCTTTCCTATTCTAGTTAATTTGCCCGTGTAACAGAAAATGAAGGTAACCTATTCTAGATTGACTCCAGAGGACTGTACAATTCGCTTAGAAAAATGGTTTTAATAGGTTATTTTTTTAAGAGTAAGCTACTTCAGAATACTTCCTTTTCACTGTGAGTTAGACACCAAGCATACTAGAGAAACGGGAGAGCAGCTAATGTGGAGTCTGCTACCCCATGTTAGCTTCTTAACAGGGGAATCGAAGACAGTGGTTGAATATAAGAAATACGTTATCATAACTGATGACAGTATCATAGTCGTTGCTGACTTTGAGCATTTTGCACTGAAAGGAAGCATTTGTAGAAGAGGCCTCCCCTGCCCCTTCCCTCTTCTTCCCTGAACTGCCTTATAAGCAAAGTGAATCTGGGGCTGCGCATCTGCATGCTTCTTGCGAGCACAGCTGTACCCGCTGCATGTGCTTCAGCACTGAGCCTTGTAGCTTTGTGAGGATGATGCAGGGCTTATGATCATAAATCAAGCACGGAAGGGTGCCCCAGGGTCGCTCAAACGTGGGCCCTGCACACAGGACCTTAGATGCCTGTGCCTGGGGTCCAGATTCGGGAGAGACACTGCTGCGAACACAGCAACATTTTAAAGAAGTGGTGTGCTATGGTTCATTGCTTGTGGTTTCTCTTCTCTCCCCTCCAGGTTAAAGGTCCGGGGATTGGTTTGCTTGGAATCTCAAAGGGGGGTGACCTGTGCATCTCCATGGCCTCCTTCCTAAAGGGCATCACGGCCACCGCCCTTATCAATGGCTCAGTGGCAAATGTGGGCGCAGTGCTCCGCTACAAGGACATCACCATTCCACCCCTTGGTGTCAATGCAAAACGCATCAAGGTCAACGAGTCCGGGATTGCTGATATTGTCGATGTACTGAACAACCCGCTAGAAGGGCCTGACCGCCAAAGCTTTATCCCTTTGGAGAAGGCCGAGTGTCACTTCTTGTTCATTGTGGGCCAAGATGATCGCAACTGGAAAAGCGAATTCTTTGCAGTTGAGGGGAGCAAACGTTTGCAAGCTCACGGGAAGGAAAAGCCTGAGGTATTCTGTTATCCTGGAGCAGGGCATTACATTGAACCCCCCTTTTTCCCGATGTGTGCAGCCTCAATGCACCTGCTAGTTGGCAAGCCTGTGGTGTGGGGAGGGGAGCCCAAGGCACACTGCGAGGCACAGATAGATGCTTGGCAGCAGATCCAAGCTTTCTTCCGCAAACACCTCACGGGCAAGCCGTCTGGAACATCCAATAAGCTGTGATATGAGTTAGGTTACTTTACAGATGAAGATGCTGGTGTTTGAAGTTTGTTTTGTTAAATGGCTCTGAATGAGAACAAAGAACATCAGAGAATAAGCTATTGGGTTTCTTGGAGGATGATAGTGGGCGAGAGCATGAGAGCTGCTTCCTTTTAACACCCTCCTCTAACCTCGGTTAGAGGTCTTGGCCTCCTGTTGTGTGTCGTATGGGATTACAAGCTGTGGAAGAATGATGGTGGTAAGGCTGGGTCTGCTTTCAATGTGAATTTAAGTGGAAGGTACCTCATCCAAGCTGAGAACTGGGATGACAGTTTGCCTTGGCTTTCTCCGAGGAAACACGTTGTATGCCATTGCCCTTACCAGAGCCAGCTTCGTGCTCTAGTTTTTCTGGAAGCAGCTGTTCTCTCTTCCTGCCTTCAGTAATCTTTCTGTTCTCCCTGTGCCCTTCCCTCTCCTTTGTTGCTCCTTCCTCTTCTCCCACATCACTGAAATGCATCTGCCTTAACACTTAATATCTAATACTTCACTTACCAAAAGCACCAACACTGTGCCTGCATCCTCAGATGACACATCTCCCATTTATAGACAACAACAGCCCGTAGCCTGACGTGACGTTCTGGGCACACGCAATAGAAATGAGACATTTGTATGGTTTTGGAAAGTTTGTAAGCATGGAGAAACAACAGAATTGGACCTGTTGGTAGTCATGCCTGGAACTGCTCATGGGCATCTCCTCAGCAGGGCTGGATATCCCTGTGTAGGTCCACAGCACTGTTGGAGGGCAGTTTCTCCCTGCATGTACGTTCCCTTAATGCCTCCACAGCTGCCTGCTTGGAAGCGCTGCTATTTTTAAATAGCAAGGCTGTGAAGCTGGCACGGCAGCTCCTTCAGGCATCTTTGCCTTGGCACCCAGTGCTATGCCGGCAGGTTTGTAGGAGCTGCCGTCGTGTGCGGGGAGGCAGGCTGGACGGGGCGGTGAGGGGCTAGCTTCGCTGTGGCGGGGACTGGTTTCTCTCCCGCCGGGCCCTGCAGCCTCCCGCCTCCCTTTCTGGTTCTCTCTGAGGAGCCGGGGCAGCAGGGTGCTCCCCCGCCCCGGGACTGTCAGTAACGGCTGGCGCCCAGGTACGGGTTTGAAAGGAAAAGCACTGGATATTGCTCGTGGGGCGCTGGGATGTATTGTATAAATGCAAAAATAGCGCATGCACTATTGTATAAAAATAAGTTTTCAACACGTCGGTGCCTTACAACCGCAAGCTGAGTGGATACAGTCTAAGTTGCTGTTCGTGTTTTATGTGCGTTCTGTTGGCGCGCTTATGCCTCTTGCGTTCGCTGTATGGTTTAATGGATTAAAACGAAACGTTAGCCTCTGCCAACGGCTCGCTGCTCCAGATGGTGCGGGGGCGGGCGGGGGAAGCGCGAGGCGGCGCCGAGGCGGGCGGCCTTTCCCGCCCGGGCCCTGCGCTGTCTCGGTAGCAACGCGCCGCCCGGGCCGGGGGGGCGGGGCTCCGGGATCGATTG